GGTTAAATCGCCGGATCAGATTCATGCCATGGTACGTTACTGTCTTTTGAATGGATACATGTAGCATTTTCAGTCTTCTTGCAATTTTGAAGCGATAAAAGACGCGTGACGAAAGTCTAATCGAGCTGATGATTAGTGTCATGTTTGGACTCCTTGTGTTAATTTATAGTGCCGATAAGGTAATTTATTGTTGTAGTAGATTATTTTATCCTATTTATTGATAAAATGTCAGATTCCTGTGACAAAACTTATTTCTCTGTCGAATGGGTGAGAAATTATTTTCTTTGTCTATATTGTAAATCGGGCTGAGTTGTGATGTATATCAATGATCAGGCCTGGTCCTAGAGCAAACGCCTTGGGTCCCACGATTTTCCGCAATGCATTCTTTTTGCTTTTTGTCCCCACTCTCAGCGCTTGCTGCCTTGGGCCCGCACATCCCAGGGCCGGGCCTGCCAATGATATATTGCACAGATTCAACAATCTCATTATATAATGAATGATTACAATTTGGTCGAACTTCAGAAAGTTGGAATGAATTAATAAATTTGGTTTTTTTTCCCTTCCAGCTGTACCTGTACAAACTTTGGCTAGTATACATTTACACCAATACGTGCATGTTTCTGATATTGGCACTTGGAAATGAGAACTCGCGTATGTTAAAGAAGCATAAAGATTCACCTATTGAGTCATCTTTGAACAATATTTAAACAGGCCATTTTGTAGCACTCATAGTCAACCATGCTAGCAGTATCATTTGTGATACTCGGTCTTTGTGCATTATGCCATTTAGAATTTACATGGAGTATGTTTTACATGTATCAGTCCGTGAGATACCGAATGTATTTTACACAGATTCCTTTGATTTTCTTTTTCGTCTAATTCATAGAAAGAATTTTCTCAAAACATAAAGTCAGCAACATCACATTTTTATACATCATTTTGAGTATCATTTATACAAGTGAGGTCCCAGATCAATTAGTGAAAAGTCCCAGCATAGGATATAAACCATATTTTTTTTTACAGAACTCTTCGAATAATTCGACCCCATTCTATTCGGAGTCAGTCGAATCGTGCATGTATCGGAGACCATTGTGGTGACAAATATGCAAGTCGAAGTATCAAATCTTTAAATCTAAATGGTCTTCTTAAACAATGTGGCAGAGTCAGTCCTCTAGTTCTACTTGAATTCTTGTCACACCATTTTCTTGTACTTATTTTGACATATATAAATAGTTCCGAGTATTTGTCTAATGACTGTTTTCTTTCTTATTGTACTAAACATAAAACATTCTTCTGCATCATCTTCAAATTGCATTTTTTGACATTACCCAAGTTTCACAAAATTGTTCATGTAAAATCCTGTGAGTTAAATTCAAGCAAACCTTCAATGCTTCCATCCACATGTGTATTGTTGTTGTTTTAGCATGTTGAGCGTGAGAGCATTGACTGCAGACCAATGTATTTATTAATCTTTGTGACCTTTCAGGTTGACTGTCGTCAATGGCTGATATCGTCATCGTCCCTGTATTTTGCGCTGTCATCGCGTGGGTCGAGGTAAACATTGCCATGTACACCAACACGTGTTGACTATAATCGTGCATATATAATATTGTATTTTCCCGCTATATTTACGTCGAATTTTCAAATGAATTTTACTTCATCGGGTGATTTATGATAGAGATACGATTTTCCGTCTGATCAATTTATTAAATGAAAGACATGCCTTTTTATTTTCCTATCCGTGCTCAAAGTCATTATCTCCGATACAGCTGCCAGTAGCTAATGCTAAACCACACACCATCCGTGTTGACAGGCAACTTTCTTTATGAAATGAAGGTCGAGAGCTGACTTAGTTTAACATTGCAGTCAAATACACGGATAAGATCAAATATCAACACACAGTTCCAGTCAATCAAAACATAAAACTGATACACTTGACATATAAAATAAAACTTTCAACAGCAACACTTGAATGCAACATGTGGCATTGTAAGTCTCTATATAAAACATCGAACTTTCAATTGCTATATTTTTTTTATTAAACCAACTTTTATTCACTGCGACGCCTAATATATAGCCCGTATTTTATCTGCAGTTAAAGTTTCGGAGTATTGATGTTTTCCAGCGGTTTTATTGCTGGCAGATTGACTGATGTTTTCTTTCTATTTGGGCGGATGTACAACTATATCATTTTCTTTTCGAACCGGATCAGGTCTTTTTTTCCCCTCCAAAATATCAAAATGATCATGAAATGGCTGTAAAGGGCACCAAGGCAAAAGTCTCTTTGTCTATTTAATCAGACTTTGCATAATAACCAATAAGCGTGCTCAAGAATGAGAGTGGAGTCAAAATTGAAGTGACTAATGACTGTATGTTTGTGTGCGTATGTTTGTTTTCTTAGCCTGGGTCCAGAACCCTGGAACTCTCCCCATCCGACCCTGGAATTTAAGTACATGGCTAATAATGTGGCTCGAAATGAATAGTATGAAGATATTACTTTAATGTCAAGCGTTACACAAACAAAAAAGCAAACACACACAAATAATGAAGCGGAAAAATATACCACTCACGCTGCAGTAATGATTCCATACATTTTTCACACAAGTCAGGAAAAATAAAATGTACGTACAACTATCCCTCATGTCACGCAATAAATGAATGCATTTTTATGCAATAGTGTTATGATTGTTTATTTTAAATCATTTATATTTACTGATTGTTGATGTGCATAGGAAGACCCCTCGTGGTGACTAAGTCCTGTTCTTGGTTATGCTTTGTTTGCTGTTTAACAGCACAGCAAACAAATGGGTTATTTCGTGTCGATTCAATTTGATATGTTAGTACCCTACCCCTCCATTATAAAGATGACGCGTGTAGCAGTTTGATTGTAATTAGCAATATGAACAGATGCTCTTATGAGTTGTGTCATTAACAATTTATGTAACGTTTTGGTGGGTTAGATTTGATTTTGTTTTAAGATAGAAAGTATCGTTGAAATAAAAACAATAGATACACAAGTAATACTTACTCCGACTCATCGAATTCCATTAGCAGTTGCAGAAGTTTGGACATAAAGCGCTCCATCTTGTCTCTCCGTTCGCACAATCCTCAGATTGCTAGCTGACAAAAAGATGACGTATGTTGTGAATACTATACCCAAAGTTAAGCAGGCCTTGAAATTAACGAATCCTTAAAGTTCACTGGAGCAAATGAAATTTGTTTACCTATTCGTTGAAGATTTTTAAAAGTACTTTATATGTAAAAATTGTATCATTTGATAGGTCAGAACTAGATTATTTTGGCGGTTGAACTGTGTTTGCTGAATGTTAGACATGGTAATATAAAGCATGGTGGTACATCATTATTTTAATGACCACTGACCGTTGAATATATTAAATGGTACTGACGATATGTACTGTAGCAGCCTATATGGCACATGACATGAGAATATTGCATATTCAGTATGAACAACAATCTTTTAAAGTCTTTCATTGATATTTCATATAAAATTTATTTATTTTTTTTTTAAAAATGATGTTATTTTGGAAATCACACAATGCAGCTGGCAAGAACTGGTTGAATGAAGATTGGAATAACTGTACCAACCTTTGCGAGGAGTTCCGAATGGCCATGTGGCTAAAGTTCTTGCCTTTACCGATCACTTCCATCTCACCTTTGTCCACGTGGATTCGAGTCTCTAGCACAACCATTGTCAGTAGTATCCCGTGGGTCGATGATCTTTACCGGGATTTTCCTGGGTTCTTCTTCCACTTCCACTAGTAATGCTGGCCGCCATGTAGAGACAACCTTGTGACGAGATATGGCGTTACACGCAAAACAATAATAATAAACACTGCGATATTACAGTTTTGCAACATTATGTCTCATATTTCTAGTTTTAACAATTATTTCATGTTCCTTAAACATATGATGCTCCTAACATATTCATTTAAAAGTGGCAGAATATTTGGAAAATACGGTTTTTCTATAAGACGCGATAATAAGTATTGTTTGAGATGAAAAAAAAAAATCACTTTGCAACACGTATATTTATTTATAATCTTATGCATTATGCGCCATGGCAAGGTCATCCATGGTGTTCTCTACATGAAATAAAGAACTTGCCCTTTTCTATACAGTCTTTGTCTTTTTCATACAGTTTACGACGTTGAAAATGGATAGCTCATGAAAATGATCGAATTAGACATATTCACACTTAAGTATCACCTTCGTAAGGTATAGCCATTTCTACAAATATTTGGATTGTTTTTCAAATGTAATGGACACAGTTTAACATCCTGATCGACACATCATTTAATAGAAAAAATGGGGTATCATTCATGCAAATTAACCGTTAATTGGGTATCTGCTAGATCAAATGTCTTAAACTCAAACAACCTTGAGAGCAGCATGAGAACATTTTTGATGGCCCAAGGGCCGCACCACCTTTGTTATCTCTCATAACACATTGTGACGCCAATCATTTGGCGAGTCACATGATACATATTGGCTGGCGCGTGTTCGACACCCCTGTACTAGATTTAGCGCGCGTGTTCGACACCCCTGTACTAGATTTAGCTTTTACCACACTAACATTAAACGTGTCTATAATTGGAAGTTTGTACGGAATGACTAACTTTTTCAGTCACGTTCAGAAACATCACTCAGACGCTCAGCAATAGATTTACTGTAGTTTGCAAGAAAAAATTAAATGCAAATCACGTTGCTGACATATTCATAACGGGAGGTTGAGAATGGTGATGTGATGTGATATGATTTTTAACGTAGCGGTAACAATTTTTCAGTCGTATCGCTATGATGTCTGAAGTGTTGCAGTTTATAGTGATGTCTAGCACTGGGGTATCATGCCGCAGACATGTAGCATTATGTCCCACCCAGTCACATTATCCTGACACCAGGCCGACCAATCCTAAACTAACCTCTTCATGCTAAGCGTCAAGCGAGGCAGCTGTTAGTACCATTTTTGTAAGTCTTTGGTATGGCTCATATGGGGATCGAACCCACGACCTCCAGCATCCGAGGCGGACGCTATAAACACTGTGCTCTTGGAGCGGTTTGTTGAGAATGGGGATATTCAAAAACTCTTATAATTGTAACTGTAATTTGCTAATACTTTGACTTGATTTTTAGAGAACAAGCAATGCAAAGATAACACATATATTTACCTGAATTTGGATACTAAAAGAAAACAGCGGCAGGAATTGCTATGGGTTTTTTTTTAATTTAATGTGAAGAACTTTGCCTATTGGGATTGTTTTATCTGTATTGACTGATTTCAATGTGGACATATATATTATACAATAGCTTTAGATGCTTACATAAGTGTCGAGTTTCACTCATGATGTATGTCAATAATAATAATAATAATAATAATAATAATAATAATAATAATAATAATAATAATAATAATAATAATAATAATAATAATAATAATAATATAAATAACAACAACAATAATAATAATAATAATAATAATAATAATAATAATTCTTTGTTTAGTGCCTTAATTAAATAGCTACTCAACGCTCACAACATCTGCACGAAGTTTCATCAATATATATCCAGTATTCTACATCAGCTAAAATAAGGAGAAAAAATACTCCACTTCTTATTCACATCCGCACATAGCCGTTTCATGAAGAGCATAAAAGACAACAATTTTATTTTGAAATCTTCAGTAAATCGATGCTTTTTTGAAGGCACTAGACCAACTTGATGCAAGATACTTGTCTAAAATCTGATTGCGATATATATCCGAATGCATGTTAGTTTTGTGGAGGGTAGGGTTGGGGAAGTTTGGTTGAAAAAAAAAGAAAGATTGCTATTACAGATTAGATGATTGAACTGACTTTAAACATAAATGCAATAGAAAGATTGAAAAAAAATATTAAATAATGAAAAAATTTATAATATGTATAGAAATAAAATATTGTTTTTTTGCTTTAACTTAATTTCATCATTGAACAGAAGTTGTATATAATATATTGAAATTCTCTGAGACGGCACCAAAACCTGTGCAACAATAACGTGAAAAGAGATTTGCATAACATTCCCAAATAAATACAATGCTTTCAAAAGCAATAACAGTAGCAATATGAATAGTGGATTGCGAGTAGCGTATGGGGACACCATAGTGACAATTGGACTTCCATGTTAAAAAGTGAATATCCACTATAGAGACAATAGGAATTTAACATGGGGAATTTTATAACCACTATTGGGAAAATGGGAATTTAACATAGGCTGGGTTTGTATGTAGAAATAGGATTTGGAACAGGTGGAGTGACGTCACGTCATTGGACATTGGCAACAACGTTGCAAGTGGCTAACTTCAATCGGACGAAACAGGGACGGCGGGGGAAAAAGCTATAATGCTTGGCGGGGCGTGATATATAGGTTTATATAACGCTTGGCTGTTCGGGAACCCATACCGTTCAAAAATAAAATAAAAGAAACATCGCCTGGTTGGGCGGGACATATAACTGGATAGACATAAACAAACAAACAAGACACAGATATGGCAAGATAGCAAATCTTTTCGAGATATAGGAGTGGCCCTCAAAAAGGCCTTTGGGATTCTTATTCTAATTTCTTTTTCATGTCTACCTCAATATTTGCATCACAGTTTGCTTCTTTTTCTTCTCCTTTTCATTCTTCTCCTTTTCCTCATTCTACTATATCTCCTTCTTCTTCTTCTTCTTCTTCTTCTTCTTCTTCTTCTTCTTCTTCTTCTTCTTCTTCTTCTTCTTCTTCTTCTTCTTCTTCTTGCCATTTTCTCGTTCTATAATTTTTATTTCTCTTGTCCTCTAAATCTTTCTTTTCTTCTTTAATTATTTACTTTTATAAGTCTGTCCTTTTCTTCCAATTATTCATCTCCATCGCCAATCTGTGTGGGCTATAAGCCCTAAACTACGTTTTCATCAACATTTCCTCTGCAAATCGTATCTACTACCTCTTGCAATCTCATCATCTTGACTAAACCGTTGGTTGTCACTTTTTATTCAATGGTGAATGGTATGATTGACGAACGCTCCAGTTTATGTCTCAAGCACGGACGTTAAGGAAAATACCTCATCATATCAACTACCCATATCACCTACCAAACAACCCATAGTGATTGGACAGCTAACTTAAAACAAATTTCTTAAATACTAAATAAAACACTATTACCGAACTTCTTTTGTTACGTGATTAGTTTTTTTATTTGAAACAAACATATCTTGGCACACGCACACATACACACATACATACACAAAAAAGCAAACACATAAGCAAAAGTACTCTCACGTACAAATACACAAACATACATACTCACATCAGTAAAGGAGTTAATGTTTATAGTCACTACTCCAACTTCACACATATTGGCAACTTGATTAGTTTCTCTTTTCCAGAGATTTGGTTAGCCATGAGAAGAGCTATCTTTTTCAACTCCAGATGCACCTCTTAATGCTGGCACCTCCCAGGTCTGGCACCACACTGGCTCCTGTCATTCTACCAGTTCATTCTTGCTCTTGGGAGAGTAGAGGTAGGGACTGTATTCTGTCTTAAGCATATCATCTTCAAAATCGTTGGCATGAAATTGAGCCAAGCCTTGGGCTACTGTGCGAGGCAATAGGTCACGTTTTTGCCTAATACTTTCTTCTTCTTTCTCCACGAAATGATGCAGTTTTTTCATCTTGAGTGAAAATAACAAAAGACAAAATTTGAAACTCCATGGTCCCCTATCAATTAATGTAAAACCATTGGCTTACCTATATATTGGGCCAGCGTCTTCCATCCAAGCATTCATTTCACTCTTAATCAGACCAGAAATATGAAAGAGCCAACACAGATCGAATTTCTGATTAAATCTTTGCGAGGTATCATACGAAGGTTTTCTTCAGAGAAGCTAACAGACTACTTCCCCTTCTTTCGAGGTAAAAGTCAATATATTTGCTATATATGTCAGAAGAAAGGGCATTGGTCCATACCGTCAAAAAAGCAAATATCAAAAGAGAGAGAAGTCAAGATACCATTTATCATTGTCAAGAAAAAGTACATTGGTCTTCAGACTGCCCTAAAAAAACACGAGAAGGAGACTGAGATTGATTCCGAAGATATCCTCCAAAAAGAGGGGGTCCAGACACGCCCAGAAAGAGAAGAAAAGAAGACGAATAGAAAGTGAGGAAGAAGAGGCAGAATCTGTGATAGTGAAGAAATTCAAAAAAGAAGAGAGTGAGCAAAGACAAAGAAGCTAATGAATTTTAAAGTGATAACAAAAAGAAAAACTTGTCTTTTGGTTTTATTTCCATAATGGAAAAGAGGTACTAAAGTTTTAAATTGATTTTGGCAAATATTGAGTAGTCTCTTTTCGAACGATTTGGGTGGCCCTGAAAAAGATCATTGTGTGTTTGTTTATAAAAAACAACAACAACTCAGGAACGGGAAGATATGAGCCTTAACTACATTATCCCTTTGTGACGACCAAGGCCTAGTTCTGGACCTGCTTCTGTCGATGCTTTGGTAGAAATCATGTGGGCTGGTATCTTAGACGTAGCAGGTATGGGATAGGGTTGAACCTTTTGGTTCTGGAAGGTCTTTTTCTCTTGCGTCGTAATAAAGAAAATTCTGGTACATTTGTTTCGGACTCCTTACTCTGCCAAAATGTCAGAATACTGTAATCTTTTGACTTTTATCGTCCTCGTTTTCTCCTAGACCTTGTTTCTTCTTTGCTCTTTTTCTCTCTGTCGTCTCCTCATTGCCTTCTCTTCTTGATGTTGCTGTTGAAGGAGAAAAACTTGTTCTGCTTCTTTCTGCTGTTAAAAGAATTTCTCCAATTCTTCTTTCAGCCTGTTTAAATTCCTCGAAGTGTGGTAATGAAGGAGAAGCTGATGAAGGTGTTGGTACCGGAAAGATATATTGTGAAGAAGAAAGAAAATCCACTAAATCCCAATTAAAATTAGACTCTTCTGGAAGTAGGATCGTGATTGCTTTGGTATCCGCTGCTATACCATCACTTCTCGTCTCCACGGCAGTACACCCCAATTCATTGTCTTCTAAATCTCCGTCATGTTCTAATGCTGTCGCATGGATTTACTGCGCAGAGACGCTAGTACATCTATATAGAGAATGTGACGTCATAGGCAGCTCTCTTCGGATGGAATACAGACACAAGACTGAATTTTGTAACGCATGTTAGGATTGGAGAAAAAACTGACTCCGTTTCGATCCGATTTTCCACTTCATTCCCTTTACCTGTTTTCGTCACAAAATGTGGACTAACGTATAGTCATCTACCCTCCTATCGTCAATGTTGTTCAACCCAGCCTATCCCATGTATATCAGATCAGCATGAAATATTACCAAGATCACAAAGACAGTCTTTGGAAACGACCCGCGGACTAATTGAAATGGCCCGCAAGAGATCGAGCAATTTTTTGTGCTTTTATGTATTTAAAATAATCACAGAAGAAGATAACAATGGTTTCTTCTTTTAGAAGTTGTTCTGAGCTCGTGGACACGCTGACTAAGACGACTTGTCTGTGATGACTAGACTGACATGAGGAAAGTAAGGTTAGCAAAACAGCTAGATTACTCTGTCGCATGGGTAAGAACAAATTGTCCATGTTAAATTCCCATTATTCCTATAGATGATATTCACTTTTTAAAATCCAAAAGCGGCTACTATGTCTAGAAAACCAAAGGGGACCAAATCAGTTGTCTTATATAGCTTACAATGACACATTTAGGGTATAACAAAAACTATGGTCATACGTAAACGATAGGCAAGAATTGTTTACATCAATTTACTTTGAAAATTGTATGAGCGGTATTATTATGTAAGATGCACAGCACTGTGGAATTAGAAATGTTAGCTTATATTCATCTTATTGCGAATGTATCTTTAATGCCACAAAATCCAGGCCAGAAGTTACCTTTTCAGCTTATCAATCAACGTTTGAAACATTATACAAAGATATTAAAATTCATTGGCCATTTCATAACATTGAGAAATTTTGTCTATGTGTTACCATCAATTTGCATAGAGATGTCAGAACCAGGC